AGAAATGGGAGAAAATGCAGGTAAAGATTTGTCTTTAACCATATATAATACAAAATGATGTATTGGTATCTGCCATATGTACATATGTAGGGCTGTGGTTCTCTTTTGGGGTTCAGGAGACAACTTGAGCTTTGCTTTAAGGGTGTGTGATGTCAACAGAATCCCTCAAAAGCATTACAGTTAAATTTAAGTTACAGTAATGATTACAGTAATATGGACACTAACTGATTAGCTTTTGCAAAAGATGAGTTGTCCAAAGTAACTTAAAGTTCTTTGATAAAATCCACACTATTAAAACTGTGCTACCTTCTGCACAGTTGGGAATATATTATTTATATTTTAATGCCAAGCCACACCAGCCTGTGGTATTAAGTTCCTGCAAAATATCACTGGAAATGAACACTTTTAAAATAAAAAACCTTTTTTTGACAACTCTAGAAGTAATAATTTAAAAACCCTAGCTTAATCCGCTTTGAGGTTCTTTCTCCCTCCACCTCTCCAAGGAGAAAGTATACATCTGGCCTGAGAACTGGCTTGGCCCACATTCTATTCCCAGGGGACTTACGCTGCTGAGTGACAAATCCCTGATGATTGAGGTTTATAGCTGAAATAACCATCCAGCCCTTAACCCCAAACATTACAATAAACAACAAATAAATAGGAGAGAGATTTGTGATTCATGGTTAAAAAGGACAAATCAAAGGTTCTCCTCATTTCCATTTTCTTTTCCTTTATCATGGAATAACTGAACTGCTTTTCTAGCATTTACTAACACAGGCTTGAGTATTTGTTAACAGAGAGCATTATTTCCTTTAAATGATGCCTGAGCAAATACAAAAATAGAAAGATGACCTTGCCCTTACTATTACCATTGTAAAAAAACCCCTGTTTTAGAGTTCTCAGAACTTTAAATATTAGTTGGCTGTTTGTAGTTCAGGCAACTGGTGAAGCTGCATTGTACAAAGAAATCTTTTTCATGGGGTAGAGGCAGACAATACAGTGTTGGATGCTGGGAGGAAAATGAACATTTAATATACTTGCACTCAGAACATTATATGAAAGGTTGCTTGAGGGACAAGAATGAGAACTAAGAAGCCTATTAAAACCCATACTCTTTTCCAGGCTGGTGATGAGTACTGAAGAACTGGAGTGATTAAATTAATCTGAATTTCAGTCTTTTCTTTCCTTTTATTACACAACTGCTTTTGCTAATATCCCAGATGACTGAAGTAACAGATTAATTCACTAACTAGCCAGATGTAATCAACTTTTATTAATAAAACACAATAGTAATTTGCAATAATTGTCCCAAACTCTGCAGCTTGCTAAAAATAAAGTTACTGCAGTATTTTGGACCAATACAAAAGCATTTTTTATGAGAGATTGCATGTTATAGTTCCAATCTGAATACTTTTCAGAACAAAAAGGCATTTTGAATTAATTTTGTTGGCAATTCCTGCACTCCGTATGATCAGCAACGTCATGGTAATGATAATACCTAGCCCAGTACAGCTTCCCTGTGCAAATCACACAGGTAAATGCAAACTAGGGCTGTCAATTAATCGCAGTTAACTCTTGCGATTAACTCACAAAAATTAATCGCGATTAAAAAAATTAATCGTGATTAATCGCAGTTTTAATTACACTGTTAAACAATAGAATACCAATTGAAATTTATTAAATATTTTGGATGTTTTTCTACATTTTCATACATATTGTATTCTGTATTGTAATTAAAATCAAAGTGTATATTATTTTATTAAAAATATTTGCACTGTAAAAATGATTAACAAAAAAAATAGTATTTTTCAGTTCACCTCATACAAGTACTGTAGTGCAATCTCTTTGTTGTGAAAGTGCAACTTACAAATGTAGATTGTTTTGTTACATAACTGCACTCAAAAAGAAAACAATGTAAAACTTTAGAAGCTACAAGTCCACTCAGTCTTACTTCTTGTTCAGCTAATGGCTAAGACAAACAAGTTTGTTTACATTTACAGGAGATAATGCTGCCCTCTTCTTATTTACAATGTCACCAGAAAGTGAGAACTGCCATTTGCATGGCATTTTTGTAGCCGGCATTGAAAGGTATTTATGTGCCAGATATGCTAAATATTGTTTGTCCCTTCATGCTTCGGCCACTATTCCAAAGGACATGCTTCCATGCTGATGATGCTTGTTAAAAAAAATAATGCGTTAATTAAATTTGTGACTGAAGTCCTTGGGGGAGAATTGTATGGCCCCTTCTCTGTTTTACCCGCATTCTGCCATATCTCATGTTATAGCAGTCTCAGATGATGACCCAGCACATGTTGTTCATTTTAAGAACACTTTCACTGCAGATTTGACAAAACGCAAAGAAGGTACCAATGTGAGATTTCTAAAGATAGCAACAGTATTCAACCCAAGGTTTAAGAATCTGAAGTGCCTTCCAAAATCTGAGAGGGATGAGGTGTGGAGCATGCTTTCAGAAGTCTTAAAAGAGCAACACTCCGAAGCGGAAACTACAGAACCCGAGCCACCAAAAAAGAAAAATCAACCTTCTGCTGGTGGCATCTGACTCAGATAATAAAAATAAATGTGCGTCGGTCCGCACTGTTTTGGATTGTTATTGAGCAGAACCCGTCATCAGCATGGACGCATGTTCCCTGACCTGGAATGGTGGTTGAAGTATGAAAGGACATATGAATCTTTAGCGCATCTGGCATGTAAATATCTTGCAATGCCGGCTACAACAGTGCCATGAGAATGCCTGTTCTCAATTTCAAATGACATTGTAAATAAGAAGTGGGCAGCATTATCTCCTGCAAATGTAAACAAACTTGTTCAGCCATTCGCTAAGACAAACAGGAAGTAGGACTGAGTGGACTTTTAGGCTCTAAAGTTTTACACTGTTTTATTTTTGAATGCAGTATTTTTGTACATAATTCGACATTCATAAGTTCAACTTTCATGATAAAGAGATTTCACTATAGTACTTGTATTAGGTGAATTGAAAAATATGATTTCTTTTGTTTTTTTATAGGGCAAATATTTGTAATAAAAAATAAATATAAAGTGAGCACTGTACACTTTGTATTCTGTGTTGTAATTGAAATCAATATATTTGAAAATGTAGAAATCATCCAAAATATGTAAATTAATGGTATTCTATTATTGTTTAACAGTGCGATTAATCATGATTAATTTTTTTAATTGCTTGACAGCCCTAATGCAAACATAACTGTTAATCACTTAGTTTTGTGAGGAAGTGGTCAATAATATGGACACTAACTGATTAGCTTTTGCAAAAGATGAGTTGTTCAAAGTAACTTTTAGTTCTCTGCTAAAATCCACACTGTTAAAATAATGAGTGAAGTCCTGGCTCCACTTGATGGCATTTGGACCCAATATCTGTTTAACTAGTGCAGCAAATATAATTTTATTCCCTTCTATCTAAGATATTTACAAAGTGACAGTCTCTGTAGTATTAAAGATTACGTTCTAGTCTAGGTTACGTGCCATTGAAATTGCTTTTTTAAAAGCTACATTTACATTTGGAAATGAATCCTTTCCAGACCACCACACACTTCAGTTGTGCAAGCAGAGACTGCTATCCTGTGCAGGCAGTGCATCTCCTATTTCTAGTCACAGGTACTGCAATTTCCAAGTACTTGTAAAATGTTTCCTGCCAGAAGGGTGTCACAGGAGAATCAGTCCTTAGTGTTAAACACAATCTTGCTGCTGTAATAAGTGCTTTACCCTCATCTACTGAGCCTCGTTAGCAATTGGTTTTACAACCAAACTTACTTTTCTTTCTTACTTACTTTTCTGAGCTACGGGTAACCTAAGGTAAGATGTATCTCTCCTCTGGAATCTGGTCCAGCTCCCACTGGCCACTGGAGAGGCCAGCTGTGTATGCTGGTACTAGACTGCTATGCCCATCTTAAGCCAGCAGAAAAGGGCTAAGGAGAATTGCTCCTGCAGACTTCAAGACTTTTGCTGTTCGCTGTTTTGCCCTTATAAAAGGGTCTCTTAGGCCTGGTCTACACTAACCCCCCAATTTGAACTAAGGTACGCAACTTCAGCTATGTGAATAACGTAGCTGAAGTCGACGTACCTTAGTTCGAACTTACCGCGGTCCAGACGCGGCAGGCAGGCTCCCCCGTCGACTCCGCGTACTCCTCGCGCCGAGCAGGATTACCGGAGTCGACGGCGAGCACTTCTGGGTTCGATTTATCGCGTCCAGACAAGACGCGATAAATTGAACCCAGAAGTTCGATTGCCTGCCGCCGAACCAGCGCGGTAAGTGTAGACAAGCCCTTAAAAATACAACAAATAGCCTCAAATCACTGAACTATGAAACACCTTGTGCTCAATGTGTTAATGTGTGATCACTATTTCTTTGTACAAGGATGAGCTCAGATGAACACTTCTTAACTTGATGCACCCCTGGCAGGGCCAACACTACTGCAGCCTCTATCTCAGGGGTCGGCAACCTTTCAGAAGTGGTGTGCCGAGCCTTCATTTATTCACTCTAATTTAAGGTTTCGCGTGCCAGTAATACATTTTAATGTTTTTAGAAGGTCTCTTTCTATAAGTCTATAATATACATAAATAAACTATTGTTGTATGTAAAGTAAATAAGGTTTTTAAAATGTCTAAGAAGCTTCATTTAAAATTAAATTAAAATGCAGAGCCCCCGGACCGGTGGCCAGGACCTGGGCAGTGTGAGTGCCACTGAAAATCAGCTCGCGTGCCGCCTTCGGCACCCGTGCCATAGGTTGCCTACCCCTGCTCTATCTGTTAGTTAAATAAGGATCCCGAGTTTGATTAAACTGTACATGACGAAAATAAGACCGTGTCTCATTTAAAAAGCTACTGCGCGAGCAAGCGGCTTTTTTCGCGTGATTATTCAGATGGTTCTAATCTGTGTTCTTTTTTTGCCTTGATAAGTCAAATAACAGCCTTGCCGATTACTCTTCACTAAGGTACCCGATTGTGGTGACATTGAGGCTGACCTTGGAGTCACCTCCCCCGCTGCCGCACTCTCCTTTGTCGTACCACCATTTGTTTTTCAATTTGTCCAAGAGGCCTTGCTCATTCAGTTTTAATACTGCCAGGTTAACAGCATTTCTTGAAACGATAAAACATAACTCGTAAGAAAATGCACAAACGCTTAAGAAATCGTAACGTATAAAAAAAGGAGCACAAGAGGACAAATTGGCTAAATTTCACAGAACGTGGAGCCATAAAAATGTTTCTACAGCAAATACAGGGTTAAATATTGGAAGGTGGCATGGAGGATAACATTTGCTCAGAACTGAAGTGTGCGGGATGGGGAAATTGGCTTTGAGGAAAAAAAGGAACAAGAACACCACATCATGCAATTAACATTCGTCACATATGGCAGTTTAACTTGGCTTTTACCATTTAAATTGAAAAAGCCACTGAACTGTAAAATTAAAACAGCAACAAACAATCAGAAAGGACAACACAGAGAGAACATTAAAAAATGGATGCATTAAGTAAATGAAACCATAATTTACCGTCTTATTTTACTCCATGGAATATTGAAGATTTTAAACTTTAAAGTTACCTCAAAATCCACAAGAAAGAAAATGACAACACAATACATCAGGGTAGGTGGAATACTATAACAACATATATATTGTTATATTATTCCACCCACCTTAATGCTGAGCCTTTTGGAGTTGCTACACCATAGCCTTTGGAATCCAGGTTCCCACCAACTTTCATTGTGTCACATGGCTTTCGCTGCTCGATATACTCGTTCATGGTCGATTCAAGGAGGAAGGCAAACTTTCCCTTTGACTTCCGCACTCTAGCAACCCCGTCATCTGTTGTTTTGGTAAATACAGATGGCTCTGCTGACTTCATATACGACCACATTTTCTCATAGACTGCTATTTTTGATCTCTGAGAAAGATAACAGAAAGCAGACAAAGACATTTTTTATTAAGTACGCACACTGCGCAGTATGTAAGTGTTGTGCTGTCAAAGTCTACATAATACAGATTAGGTTGCAATTGACTGAAGAGAACTGTCAATAACTATGGTTTTGTGGACCGTGTCCAGCACAAAGGGGCCCTGAACTGGTTAGCCTCTAGCTGCTAACACACTATATATGATGAATAATAATAAATGCAGCAGGTGAAGTTAGCTAATGGAGAACAGTACTGGCCCCTAAACAATTACCAAACACAGCAAGAAGTTAGGAAAAAAGTGGTAGGCAAGAGAGAAATGTAGCTGAGACATTTCTCTTGCTAACTGACATTTAATTGGCAGTTTAACATTCAAAATGAAAAACAGCGCATTCCATCCCAGTCCCTTGATCTTTCTGCTTGTGTGCGTGCTGCTGTAAGATCGAACCAGATAAAAAATATTAAATCCTAGCTCATCTGTTATGGCTAATACATGCAAATGAAGGTCCTCTACTTTTCCACACAAATCATTGCTATCAGTTTATTTCATTCTATAACACACCACTGGTGAACCATAGACATTTGCTTATTAAAGAACGCTCAAGAAGACAAGAATTTGCTTCTCATAGTGGTGATGTAAGGTTTAGAACTGCAGCCAAGCAGGGCCAGCGCTTCCATTTAGGCGACCTAGGCGACAATTCGTCGGCAGGGGGTCCTTCCGCGCTCTGGGTCTTCGGCAGCAATTCTGCAGCGGGTCCTTCACTCGCTCTGGGACCCGCCGCAGAATTGACGACGACGACCGGGAGCGCGCCCCTCCTAGGGCGTCAAAAACCCTGGCGCCGCTCCTGCAGCCAAGAGATGACAGTAGCTCTACTGGGCTATTAAAAGATGAGGATACCCATCTGGGAGATATGTACAGTGATTACAAAGACTTTAGTAAACACCGATCAACTTTTTTTGTTCAGATATTTTTCAGCAAAATTTGAAACTAACAAGCATGCTAGTAAGAAGCTGATAGTCTACATTACACTCTTTTGCTCTCATTAAAGTGAAGAGCTCAATAGACCACAGGCTATTTTATTATAACCAGCTGCTGGTTATGCATTTTTTAAGTACATGTTGATTTGTTCAGTTTGGAGACAGCCAAACATAATGATCCTGGCTCTAAGACACATGCTTAGTAACTTAGGGAGGCAGAACAACTTTTAAAACAACAAGTTGGTGTGTTACTTCCCCTTTCTCCTTTCTGTCCGCTCTTCGTGTCGCAACCCTAGATGGCAGAAAACTCCGTGCTAGGGAATTCACTCATCCCACCCTACACACATTACTATAAACCATCTTAACGTACCAAGAGTGAAATCAGTAGTATACTGCACCATCACTTAATGTTCCCTGTCTGTCCCACACAGTGCAATAATGCCTGGTTAATTACTGCAAACTCAGGATTTAGTCAGTCTAAGCCATCTAACTTTGTCACATTCCTTGTCAACCCTTATCTGGAATCACTAAAGCTATAACAGTAGGTACCACACACAGTGGTTAAGGTCCGTGCAAACTATTGTGAACTTGTAGCAGAAGACTCTTCATTCAAGCTCAAGTCATGCTTTTTTTCTTTTCCTTCAGGACAATTCAGTGTGCTTTGGATAATATAGTGACTAATAACTACTATGTAAACATTTTATAGATAGCAAATCCTGCCTTCATTCCTTGTATTAAAATCCTGATGTAGCTGTGATTGATAGAGAGGAGTATAGGGACAGGCTTTTATTATAATATTTCTCCGAGTGAGCTGAAAACCAATTGAAAATACAATGCAATTAAAACCATCATGATACACAACAGAAAATCAGAGAGAAGGCAGAATAGTGTGCCTTCATTAAAAGGTGGGTTGGACACCATACAGTCGTCGAGAGATTAAAAATGAAAATATTTATTGGAGGAAAAATAGTTTTTGCAGATGCTTTTGAAAAGTGTGAGGAATGAACTGCAGAGGTAGCTAGCTATGGAAGTGGGGTGGTGAAATCAACTCCCCATGTGAGGGTGGGAAGGGGCTAGGGTATTAGTCTTGGACCTGGGTCTGATTCCCTGCTTTATCACAGACTTCCTGTGTGACCTTGGGCATGTCACATCATTTTTCTGTGCCTCAGTTCCCTACTTCTGTAACATGGGGATAACACGGCCCTACCTTTCGGGGGTGTTGTGGTGATAAATACCTCAGAGGTGCTCACATAGGGGAGCCATATAAGTACCTAGGAGAGACAATAAAAAGCATGGCTGCCCACTTTTATAATATATCCTCTTGGTCAAGCTTACATTTACTCTATCCAGCATCTTTCTACCAAAGTATCCTGACATATTTTAGCAAGTTTACACTGACACTCAATCTATATGCTGAAATCACTTTATCCACTATTCAAACACGGCCACCTGTGGGTTACAACATGGCACATGTTTAACAAAGCACAGCACCACTATGTGATGGGTTAGGCCAGGAATGTAATGACTTTAGTGGGAATTTGACCTTGGAATGGGGTTTAAGCCCCTACTGAAGTTCTGTGAACTTTTTCATGACCAGAGCTTACTTTTATAAAAAAAAGGGCAATTCTAGAAGCCATAATGTCAAGCTGGGGCATTGGTTACATACTAACTGAGAGCAAATTGTCATGCACTGAATTGCCAATCTAGCTTTATGCAGCAACGGAGCTTCCTTGGAGGTTTCCTATCAAAGAAATAATTGCGTGAAGGAAAGTCTAGAATATGAGTCTTTAGCTCAGTTTTATACCTTTCATCGATGGCAGACTTTTTCAGCCCACCTTACATCTCAGAAGCTGCCCAGAGCACAATCCCTGTGCTTGTGATGACTATAATATACACCCAGAGATGCCGCAGGAGGATGTATAAATAGCATTGTCCTGCCTATGCTTCCTCCCCCAGAGAACTACCCTCTGTAGCAGGATTCCCTCTCCCTCTGAACCCCACAGAGGGTGCTTCACACAGGTGCAGGGATCCATGGGGATGAGGAGAAGGAAGGAGAAGATGGCCAGAACTAAGATTAGATATGTAATACAACCAGAAGTTGTCATACTTTTCTGTGGACCTTCCTACTTGAAGAAAAACCTCCCTCGGGGGAGTATTTCCTTTTCCAGGCTAGTAAGGGAAGTGTTAACTAAACCTTCCTCTTGAGTCCATTAACAAGATGTGAGCTCATAGATGGATTAGACAACCCTGGTGCATTACAAAATGTAGGTTTTGTTACTTTAATTTTGTACTGGGTCTTGGTGATTTTTTTGCAGCATCAAAGCTCTGTGCAAAACTTCAGAAGACAACAATTATGTTGCCTTTGTTGGCTAGGTAATCTGAGAATTTAGGTGACATCTTTCTGTTCATCTCACACCTGCACTGAGGCTATCAAGGCACAGCTGTGCCTTGCACACAGGATAGGAAATAGCTGAGTTGGAGAAGCTGGTTTATTATGTAGTGGCAGGAGCTGGAGTTGTTACTATTGCCGGTATCAAAGCCAAACAAGCTTTATGGAATCCGAATCCTAGAGAGTATTAGCTTAGCAGCCCTGTGCCCCAAGGCAGCACACAGGCGTGGAATGCATAAGCAAGTTTCTGAAAGACCAGAGCAGATCAGACAAATAAAAGCGTATGCTGTATACACAGTTCTGAGCTCTGCAACCTGTTAAATAACACTAAAACCAGAGTAACTAGCCGTGAGTAAGAACTTTAAAAATGTTTTTCATGTGTGTATACCGTATACACTCGCACATACAGTAGTATATTATAGGTAGAGCTGGTAGCAACAAATTGGTTGGTGAATTGATGTAGTGGTTGTAGTGTAGACATGGCTTAAGATGGCACCGGCTGCCTTTAATTTTGACATTTCCTAATTTCTGAGTGGTTGACTTTGTAACCTTAATCTTCTTTTAACATTACTTTTTGTAAGTAATACAAAACACACATGCATATGTGTGCCTAAGTTAGAGCTTTATTGTCTGTCTCTAAAAGCTAAAGATTTCCTTGCCAAGATTTTACATGAAGTAAAATGTGTTTTGCTCAATTGTTGGTTCATTTTCTCATCTAGTTGTATCTTTAATGAAACAGTTAAATTATAACATGTTTTTTCCTTTTCAATGCCTAGCCCACACTGGATTTTCTGTTTTAATAAGTCCTCTCTTACTGTTTCCAGCTGGCATGAATACCTAAAAGCAATTTGCAATGCATCTGTGAATTGTTATTAATATTTTTATTTGATAAGGGCCAACAGCATGCTCAGTGTGGTACAAGGCACAAATAAAGATGTGCTCCCTGCTCCGAAGATGTTATAATGTAAGTGACAGATGAACATTTCCTTAGAGGAGAGGATGTCCTTGTGCTGAAGGAATGGGCATGGCAGGGCGCGGGAAAGGGAGGGTAGGTCAGCATTCTGTTCCTGGCTTGTCCACAGACGTCCATAAATCATGTGCAAGTCACTTAGGGGCAGATTTTTAAAGGCAGTTAGGTGCCTCAATCCCACCTAGTGGGATTTGTCAGAGACAGGCACGTAAGCATTTTAAAAAATCTCGCTAGGTGCCTATCGGCATCTTTAGACACACAAATGCCTTTAAAAACCTTGTCATTAACCACTTTGGGCTTCAGTTTCCCCATCTGTAAAATAGGGATACCAGTAATTGCCTACTTCATAGGGATGTTTGTTAATTTTCAATCTTTGCACAGTAAGTACTCTAGGAGGGCGACATATTATTATCATTGCATTTCCAAATACTAAAATCCATGTGATTCATAGTCAGCTTTAACAGTATTTAGCCTAACTTTTCTCACAGAGTGTTCCCGTCTCTTAACTCATTTTTGTATGTGATGATAAAAGAAATCAGTACGTTTTTACATGCATCAGTTTTCATCTCACATCTCAGAGGCATTTTGCTGATTTCTCCCTCAAACAGGATTTTTCTCAGAAGCCACGTTTTGTTAACTTCAGCTCTACAGAAGGACT